GAATCAACTACGACTACGGCGTACATTCTTCCATTCATTTATTATGTGCTTCTGATGGTTTATTTCACCTGTATGGAGTACTTCTGGGATTCTCCGCTCTTTCTACTGCTTGTGTCCTTGGAATGAGGCCCTTTCAGCGACCGGCGGCCCTCGCGGGTCAGTTCTACTATCTATATTCCGACAGCCAATTTATCCCTTTCCCCCTCGAGTACTCCTCCTCGGTGACATGGACGTACTCAGCCTCAGAGCTTAATGTTTCGGCCCACAAGTCGAGGAGGTCACCGAATGATAGACCGTCGTCGCCAGATCTCAGGACGTATTTTGAGGGGAGAGTTATGCTGAGGTTGTTAAGGATGGCTTCAACAAACACGCCGACGTTGGTGTCTGCGGACACTATCGTGGGTATACGCATACGCCCCCTTCCTTTCCTTCCCCCGCCATTATCTGGACTGCATTCTTCCTTGCTTCATCACCGCCACCATTTTATACTATGAAAATACATCTGGAGGACGTAACGTCTCATTGTGCTCCAGTGGAAGAGCCGCAGTGAACACTGAATACCGCCTTTTCTATGTGGGTTTTGTCCTCTGTGTAAGCCCTTGCCCTGGTATTTCTTTTGAATCTTCTCGAATAATATTACCATGGAGCTACCGTCAATGATATGCCACTGAGATAGCCCTTTTCAAGTCCAAGAATCACATTTTGAACGGGGATATGAGTGCTAGCGCGCGAGTAAGCGAACTCGGTATTTTTTGTCGCTCTGCGCTGATGTCTGGCAGATGCGCCAGTGTATTCGTTTTTTCGTCATCCAACACCACTTTTATGGCGGAAGACTATGAAAGGCCAACGCTTGCTTCAGCCCGATGTTTGGCGAAGAGCGAAATCTGGCAGTTATTTGTCCTCGTACGCTTATACGGTCTTATATTTCGCTTTAATCTTGAGATCCTTCCAGACGTTCGAAATACTTTGGCGCATACATCCACTTCGCCGTTTGCCTGTCTTCAGTCGCAATACAGCGACTTCAGAGCCCTATAAGATGATGCTTTTGTTTGAGAAGGAGAATTTCGGTACTGGACCGTTCCGTCGTTCCGTCGTTCTGCCGTACGTACGTTCGTTTTCTCGGCTCTTTGTATGTCAAGACGTCGTACTTCCAGAGTGAGACGCTGCGGTCGACGCGGTTTCTGCTATGTAATTTGGGGTAGGCTGTTGGCTCACTTTGCAATGTTCAAGTCTCATCGTTCCCTATAGCCTTAGAAATGCCAACGAAAATCAGGACATGATGCCCGGACGTTCTGATGCCAGCTTTGTTATGGGAACAAGTATGTCCAAGTTCAATCACTTCTCTGTTTAAGAGGGACATAACGATCTTGATGACAGATCTCCGTTATGATCCCATAAATGTTTTCGGGTTCAGTATTCTCTCCCCGAGCGTGCAGATGTTGACAGAACAACGAACATTTCAAACGTTGCGACGGCCCGGTCTGTGTATGAAGGAACATCCAACTCTAATGAGAAGTTACAACGACGAAGCTAAAACTTAAACGGCGATCTAGACGGAAGATCTTTGACTATGTGAAGTCGATGGGTGCTATTCGGTCCCCCCTCCGACTCCAAATCGGCGGTTTCAAAAATTACTTGACCCTGACGCGTCGCGTGCACGCAGCTGCCCTTATTCTTTCTTTTTGGTGTTTTTTTTTCCTTTTCGCGTTAGCGTGTGCGGAATGCACCCGACTGGCGCGTCCTACATTACCTTGCGAGCTCTTCCCAAGGCATTGTCAGTCAAAGTTTTTGTCTTGAATGACCAATGCGAAAAATTCCGCCACGCTAAGGCGTCGAATAAAGACAAGTTACATTGTCCTTGGGGGAATTTGCCTTTATCGGAGAGCTTCGACCTTGATTTCCATTTGCCACCGAAATGCTTAAAATCCAGGAGGACAATCTCCCTCCCCACATCGGTCCCCCTCGTTCTGCGTTCTTTTCTCAGTATGTCTTCCACTGGCTTGGAAGACATATTCATGGCGAACCGGGAGACCATACAGCAAGTATCTGCAGACGGCGTCATTCCCGACAGGAACGACACACTTTGTGCGTATGCTCCTCCCAGCACGAATAGGTGGTTCTGCTCGTACAGCGGGGACACCCCATGGTGCCTCTGGCACGACGGGCCAGCACTGGGGAGGTTCATCGATCTCTATTCGCAGGTACGTCCAACGACGGGAGAAGACGTCCATCGGATAGAGTTTGTCAATGGCGAGATCGCGCACGAGCATTCCCCTGGGTGGACGTTCTGTGCGCCGGCACCCACTCGGGAATTTTGGGCGGCGTACCCGAAGCATTATGCGGAGCCTGGGAGCGGGCTTCCTCCTCTCGTTCCTTTATCGTACCCGCAGGATGGTGAGTTGGCCGCTCCTGCGATACTGAATGAGCAGGACAAGCCTCTGGATCTTGATCTGGGACACTGTCCGGGCCCCCTTCCTCCTCGTTCACCATTGCCGGTCGTTAAAGTTGAAGCTCAAGAGCGCGAGATCCGCCCGCTACCTCGTGGTGGTCGTGAACGCGCCGAGGCATCTCCCGTCGCAGCCTCGCTCTCGCCCTCTTCGTCGCTAACATTATTCTCTCCCTCTCCTCCGCCCGAGCTCCGCTGCCTCTACCTCCACTGCGATAACCGTTTCCCCTCCCTCGACATGTTGTATGCGCATCTCCGATCATCCAAGCACCCCAAGGGGGAGGAGGAGGAGGAGGAGGAGAAGGGGAAAAAAAAGCACAAGTACCGTTGTGCGTTCCCGGGGTGCGTCCACATGCTCGTGAACCGGGGGGATTTCCCTCGGCACGCCGAGTCGGCGGGACATTGCCCGGAACGGCGCTACGTGTGCGGGGGGTGCAGGAAGGGGTTTACGCGGGTGGATGCACTGAAGAGGCATCAGGTGAATGATGGGGCGAAGAAGGAGTGTAGGAAGGCATGGAGGGAGGAGGAGAGGATGAAGATGGAGGAGGGGGCGATGACGGTGGGGGGTGCTAGGAAGCGGAGGAGGACGAAGTAGGTGGGGTCCGGGCGCGTTATTTGGACTGGATATAAGTATTCTATCTCTCCTTGTTTCATTAGTATTTTCTCTACGTAGTCATTTATTCCTCCTCCAGCAAATAATTGTCGCGATACGTACATATCATGTTCTCGTCTGCGATTTTCAATAAACTAGTTCGTTGCAGCTTGCCGTGTAGTGATTTAGTCAGCTCTGATACCAGATCCATGAAGGCTTTCAAGTGTACATCGGGCTCAGTCGTCTCTAGCACTTCTTCGCCGGAGCCCTAGTGAAATGGCGGCTCCAACCAATATCCACCAAAGGAGTGCTGAGACAAAGGATTCAGGGTGAACACAATCAGAAGTTTGGTTTGCGTCAGCTTGGAGGCATCTATTTCCAAGAAGTAAGGTCAGTTTTGCAGTTGAATGAGTGGTACATGTCCACATCGCGTTCATGGGATGAGAGCCACGAATCCCTGTTTTTTTTTGTCCACGCACAATCCCCCCACCTTACTTTGGAATCTAGATGGCTATGCTACTCTTATTCTTGTTCTGAACAAAGGACTGGGAATTACACTGCCCGCTCTATTAGCATGGGACGAGATTCTGATGTTAGAGAGAAAGCCGTGTCCACCGCGAATATCTTTGGATCGTATCTCTGCTTGGTAACGGAAGTAAATTAGTACTTGCAAGTATTCTTTGAATCCTTACGCTGATCCGCTTTCAGTCTCAGGACGGCTCTTTACTGGCTCGTCGGATGTGAGGGGGGATCCATACATACGCTCTACGACAACCTTAACCTCCCCCTTTTTCCCCGAGTACTGTCAATTCTTTGCTGAACTCCGAACCTGTGGTGGGCCACTTTTTCATAACTGAGAACCGAACTGACGGGTTTAGTTTAAGGTATGTCCGTGCAGCCGTCTGATAAAAGTGCTGTGAGGATGGAAAGTTGGGAATGAAATCCAAGGCCGATGCACAGACTCAGAGCAAATGACGTGGAATTGGGACAATTTGCAATAAACACTGCTTAGTCATCGGCCCACCCTTGGATGATGCTGCTCGCCGACGATCTGCTGCTGATCTACACCATCGCCTTTCTCTCTGTTCCAAACCGAAGCGGGATAAAAAAATTCTACATCACAAGGTGGCCAGATGGATTTACGACTGGGGAATTAATACTGGTTTGCACGTGCGTGCCGCGCTGTCGGTGAAGATGATTGATTGTTCTTATGGCGTGTTTTGATATGGGCGTTACATGCGCCCTCCTGTTGAGGCAGTCGGTGGTCACGGGAGCATTCGTCCATGCTCAGTGGAGAAGTCGTTACGTGTTCATACACCTAGATCGAGTGGTCGTGTATAGGCCGACTGTTTATCTTCATCCATAAAATAGCGCACTGCTTGGGCAACTGACTAGGCCTACAGGATGGCTGATGATACATAAATACAACTAAGCATAGTTGAGACACAGAGCGCCATCAATTGCCCCCCTCATGTACAGGTACGGGCTGTAGGCCTACGGGAGGAGGGGGAGAAGGAAGCATACAGGTTTGTCTTCTCGAGTTTTCACGCGTTCCGTGGACATAATGATCACCATCCCGTGGTATCTCATAGATACGACTGCCTACATGATCATTTAGTCCTCCAGAGCAATAATTCTCGTGGTTACGTACGTGATATGAGGTTCGTCCGTCGTCAAAAAGCGCAGGGGGGAACCTATCGACAAATATCAGCTGGTCGTTCGTCGGAGCTTTAGTGATTTAATCGGCGCCGGTATCACTCGAGATGCATCACCGGCACCTCTCGCAGGGTTGTCACCTCCTCGAGTTTATCCTCAGCGTCCTCGCATACATCCACATCCAACGGCGTCTCTTGCGGGTCCCTCCAGAAGCTCGTCGAACAGTCCGGGTCGGAAAGTTGTGCGAAATTAGGCGCTGGAACAAAGGAGTCGGGAACGAATGCAGCAGCGGTGGACTTATATCCTTTCCCTTGTTTCATCCTCGCGATGTCCTTTTATAAAGAGCATATACGCAGTTCCTGAGATTCGGATTGGGAGTAAAGGATCTGAAAGAGGTCGGTTTTTGGAAAGGATGTGGGCGCGGGGTGAATAGGTGTAGGCATGTCTTTTGAGAGATTCGGCCGAGGATCTGTCGCACACACCGGCTCGGTCCGCGTATGACGACGACGACGACGGGAACACGGAGAATCGTGCCCGCAACCTCCGAGTTGGAGAACGGTGATAGAGAATCTACTATATCAGAGCCGGCTCGGAATCGTACTCAGCCCGAGAGGGAAAAAATCAAAGGACTTGCCGAAAATGGCAATATCGAAGCAGCGGCGCGACAACGTGGTATCTTCTTGACTGCTACTCTCGAAATTACAACGCGGTCCTTGTATCCTGTCAAATGTACTTCATATGTATAACCCGTTCCTTCCCGCTCCAACTCACCTCAGGAGTGTTCCTTAGCCCACGAGCATACGTCGTTCCTAACCTCCAACTAACCTCCACAATTCCCAGTACGCGATGAGGCAGATAAACACTTGAGAAGGATGGCTGGACGGAATCAATAACTGTTATCGACAGTGACAACAGAGTCGAGAGAAGACATCTCCGCGCGGAACTCTTGACACGCTGCATTACCAAAAAAATAAGGGAAGCGAGTGTACTCTAAACTCAAAAGTGAACGTGAAAGAGGGAAAAAAAATACTTTCACAGCCACCTTTCATTCGGATAGAGGGAATCGAACCCTGAGGTTCAGCCGTAATCCATTACGCTACTTATATCCAAGTGTTCGTTGTTTAGGCCCTCCCCCCAGTGAAGAGAAAGTTAACCATGGACGATGACCGGTGAAGCGCAATGAGGAGAGTGGAAGAGGGGGTGAATCAAACCCAGGGAGACATTGCACCGTTACATATAACAATGAGGAATGAAGGATGTTGCTTTCATATTAGCACTACGTATCTGTCCTTGGAAGAAGCACTCTCCAGGGGATTTGGGGACCTTTTTCGTTGGAGTTCAGAAGTCAAGAGAGAAAGTAAACATGAAAAAATGGCGAAAAAATGACACCTATCTGGCTTTCGAATGGGGGACAGGGAATCGAACCTCTGGCTAATGGAATATGCCATTTGCACCAAGTGTATGCGGAGACTATGTAAACAACGAGGGACAATTGGAAGACAGCGTGGATTTACAGAACCACTAGTAACTTGTGTCTGTTGTCTCCTCCGACAAACTCATCATGAACATGGGGGATCAGAGACTGACCAGAATTCCTTCGCTGATCATTTGCTCTTACTGCTTCTAAGTCTAAATATCCGTATCTGATCAGGTAACGCTTGAGAAATGACAGCGGGACGAATCAGTAACTGACTACAGAGCTCAGAGAATGTATCCCCATGTGGAACGATCGCATCTAGAATCCATTTACTTTTGCAAATGCATTATCAAAAATGAGCGCACTCTAAATCGGCAAGAGAATGTGAAACAGGGAAAAAACTTTTGATGCACTCTGTCATTCAGATAGAGGGAATCGAACCCTGATCTAAGCTATAATCCATTAAGCTACTTATATCCAAGTGCTCACGGTTTAGGCCTCCCGTGAAGATAAAAGTTAACCATGGATGATGATCCATCAAGCTCAGTGAGGGGAGGGAGGCGCAGTTCACAAGTTGGAGGTTTGCATCAAGAGGAACAAAAAGTAAGCATGAAAATTGTCAAAAAAGCGAATCAACCTGCTGATCCTCGATTGCGACGGAGGCAATCGAACTCGAGATAATGATAGATGCCATTACACCAGGTTTATCGGGAGATTATGCAAAGAAGGAGGAGGAAGAGGTAGAAAAAGTGCGTAGAGGTTACACAACCACCAGTAGCTGCTCCTAATTCTCGGTCCGGACTCCCCACGACACTCGGATAGAGGGAATCGACCCCAAAGTTATCGGAAGAACGAACGGTATCCAGTACACTGCTGTTATATTTGCAGCAGCAGGCAGTGACGAGTTGTCATGATAGAAGATGCTAGCTGGGTGCGATAAAATGAGCCCCAGTTCAGGTCGGTTAGACTCTTCTCTTCCTCCCGCAGCCCGCTACGTATTCGGTTCTTTTGCGGAACAGCTAGAAATTGTCATCAGTCAGAGAAAAGATATGATGCTGCCTAGTACTACAGGTACAGGTGCTGCGACAGGCTTTGGCAGCCGGAACTCCAACGGTGGTTGATTCATGGTTGTAGTGATTTAGTGAGGAATTCCCCTCTGAACACAGCACTGTCTTTTATGGATTGTATTGATGACTTTTTATTTCATTTGAAACCTTCATGTGAGCTGGGCTTGATTGGTACAAGTCAAGGAGGGTGCTTTTGTGAAAATAAAATGTTGACTCACTCAACCAGACCTTGCAACTTTGGGGCAAAGGGACCAATTCGTGTTGGGAAAGCAGAGATAGGAGACTTCTTGAGCATCTATCCAGGACGGCTCGTGCACCAAAAATAGTAGTCAGATGATGCCAATGGTATTTCCGCATCTCGTTCAGGGTTCCTAGAATGTGAACCAGGGGTGATAAGATAAAGAAGATCCTATCCACAGTTACAGATGAAATTTTTCATAAATCACCAAGGCAACTTTTGACTACAGAGAGATTAGAATACATCTCCACACAGAATTCTAATCTATACATGCTGCATCACCATACTCAGATCTTCATGTCCATTACCAAAAAAATACGGGAGATGAGATCATCTTGACTGAAAAGTGAACATGAAAAAGGGAACACAACATTAGCAATTTGCCATTCGGATAGAGGGAATCGAACCCTAAGCTATGCCATAATCCATTACACTACTTACATCCAAGCATTCATTGTTTGGGACTTATGAAGAGAAAGATAAAACCAAACCATGCCATAAAAGTGGACTGGTTCATCGAGAATAATTCGGAAATGGGGAATTGAACCCAGGCAGCCATTGCAGCCATTGCTTTCGAAGGTCATATGCAAATAAGGGAATGAACTGACGAAGATGTTGCCCAGCTGATTCCTTACTCTTTCAATAAATTGTTTTAAAATGCACTAGTTTCTTCTCCTCATCTCTTACATCCGTGATGGGTCTGGACATGGTGATATCACCGCCGATCAAGTTGCTATGGAAGCTGCAATGAAAGAGTACTTAGTTGATCTTTGTAGACAAGTGCGATTCGTGGGCTTGGGCTCTGTGGCTGAACATGATTACTTGTCTCAAAGCATACTTGATGTCTTAGAACTTTCAAGATGCTTGAGATAAAAACCAAGGTATAAAGGGTGGTGGGTGTACAGGTCAAACTTTATTTAGCTAACACAGATTTTGTCAATACTGATATGTGCTTTGCTGAGTTTCTGAAAGGGAGAACAGCGGAATAGTATAAATGATGTACATGGTTTAAGCAGTGCCACTTCATTACAGAATATAAACTTGTATGATAGTTATTACTTCCAGTGAGAAAAGGTGTTGTACAGATGGAATTACATTGGTTCATTGTGAAAAGGAGACTACTGGTGGAGCTCAAGAAGTAGTCTATTGAGTATCACAAGGGGCTCCCAATATCTCTCTGGTCCATGAAGACTGATGATCAGCATAAGAGTCAAGGGTGGGCTCTATGAGACATTTCCCAAGTGCTAATCTATACTAGTCTGGCAGAGCCTATAGGAGAAATACTTTTGTCATCCAGACAGTGAGAACCTTCAAGGCTTGAAATACCATCCATTCTATGGTTGGATAATTTATTTTACCCTGCTATGTCTGCTCTCAATAGACCATTATCTACAGCTCTCAGAACTGAATTTTGGCAGTGGTTTGAATATACAAACACATAAAAGAATAGACCAGCCATGACCAGAAACATAGATGATTCTACCTGGCTATATAAAACAAGGGAATTGGCTGGTGGCTTCTGAGTCAAGAGTGAAATGGCACTGAGACAAGATCTTGACTCAGTCTGATTCATTGCATTGCTTAAAAGCATGCACATTATGCAGCTGTCTTTGAAACTTGCCCTTCACTGCTACACTCACAATGGCTGATATTGTTCAGCTGCTAGATAGTGAATCTGAGTGAGAACTGACAGTAACATTGATTCTTCATAAGAGAAGGCTGTTGCTGGATGCTGATCTACCTTAGATTTAAAATGATATTGCTGCATATGAACAAGAGATCTGTATTCATTCTTTCAAGAACAGCCTTGATGTGACTGGGGGCTTGTGGCTCCTGGCCCAAGTCTGTGAATATTGATGAGACTTCATATTATCCTCATCTTGATTATGGTCAGTCATCATTGTGAAACTCCCATTTACACAACACTTGGCAGAGATCTTGGTCCACTGCTTTTATTACTCTGCACAACACCCATTGCACATAGCAATAAGAGGTCATCACAACAATATCTGCTCTGTCCAAGACTATGACTATACTCATCATATCTTTCATATAGTCCTCAAAAAATCTATGCACTGGAAAATGATGGACATGCATGTCAAACCAGAATACCTGAAGAGACTTCCCTTTCCTTTCAGGTCACACCTCTTTGCTGATGCTGGAGGAGTTTCACCTCTCTTCTACAACCAAAGAGGGGGGCTTGAGTATTGGTGCATTGTCCTCACTGCCATGTCTTTGACATGCCTATCTCTCCTGTCTATTTGAGGTCTCTGAGAGGTTTTTTCATACAAGCTTCCTGACACATTTCTCAGAGAGGCTGAACCATTTGGCAGACATCTGGTACATTGCTCAGATGCCCACACTCATTGAATGCCATATCTGCCTGCCAAAACACTACACTGAGCTGCATAGATCTGTGGTTCCTTATGATATTTTACTAATTTGAATGGAACAACTCAAGATCTTAATCATCAATGTGTTAAGCCCAAATAACATGTGGTGTGAAAACATGATAAACTGATGCTGCTTCACATTCAGGTAGTCATGTCAGAGTCCACTATATGTGTCTGTTTGTCTATGTGTTGCAAGGCCTTGCAGTTGGCTTGAGATAAGATGGTAGAAGAATAAACTTTAGCTTGAAGCTGGGGATACTACAGCGAGAGCTATGCTACTTATATACCAGTCATCATCTGTTCTATAGATATAACTACCTGATTGTTCATCCTGGCATTATAGAGTGTTTTGTCCTGTGTCATTAAGCTACCTACAAAAGTGTTTTGTCTGTTGTTGAGCAGTTACCATCATGTTGAAGGACAATGACTGACTAGGCATTGTGATGACTAAGCCTGTCCCATGGTCCTAAGTGCTGGCCTAAGCACCCTGACTAAGTGAAATAGGGGTCAATCCCTCAAATAAAAGATAGAAATAAGGAAAAATTGTAACATTACCCCCTCCTTAAGACCATCATCCTGATGGTTAATTTAGAGATAAGTCTTGGCATTCTGTTGTAAGATTCATGAAGACATTGACCATTAAGTTGGTCCATGTCTCTGTTTATAGGCATGTTCATAGTCTTATATTGTATTGTTGGCATCTATTGCCTTCTCATTGACCCACTGGTTAGATTCCAGGCCATATCCTTTTCAACTGACCAGGTAGTCAACTGTCATCATCATTCTGCTACCCTTTGCCTTGACTTTTTGTAATTTATATTTTAATATTTGATCAATTTTGTAGTGTTCTTCATTGTTGATCAAGTTGGGTGGGGGTGGTGGAGGTCATTCCTGGTTAAGGAAGGCAGGTGTGATGTAAGGTGTCAATAATGCTTCATTGAAGATATTATGTATCTTTCATGTGACTGGAAGGCACAATTTATAGGCTGAGTTGCTGATTTTGGTGAGAATAGTGAAGGAGCCTGTTTATTTGTCAGCTAATTTCTGCTTTGGGTGGGGAAGACAAAGGTTTATTGTGTCCAGCCAAACCTTGTCATTGACTGAATACTTATATGTAGCATGACAGTGTTTATCATATTGCTTCTTCATTGTATTAGCAGCCTGTTCAAGGGCTGTCTTAGTTTTGCTGTAGATTTTGGCCATGGTCATAGCAAAATTGCTGGAGGCAGATGTTGAGGTGTGAGTGTACTCAGTTTGGGTGATATGAGGGTGTCATCCATAGTTGATGAAGAAGGGAGTCTTTCTCATAGCTGAGTAGATACAGTTATTGTGTTGGAAGACAGTGGGTGCCAACCATTCCATCCAATCATCTTGTCGATAGTTAATAAAGAGGCAGAGATATTTTTCCACCTCTTGGTTAGCCCATTCTGTTTGACTGTCTGTTTATGAGCGATAGGTGATTGACACATTTTGTCTGATATTGAGAAGTCAGTATAGATTGTTGAGAAATTTGGAGACAAATTGAGGTCCCCTATCTGAAATGATGACTTGGGGCATGCCATATTTGGCATACATCTCATTGTGCAAGATTTTCGCCCATCCTTCTGAGGTTAATTCAGTGGAGCAAGTGATCAGAATGATTGCTTTAGAGAAGCAATTGACTATGATGAGGATTGCATCATAGCTGTTACAATCTGGTAGTCCAGTGATCAGGTCCACTGAAATGTGGATCCATGGTGATGAAGGGACCTTATTCAGATGGAGTGGTGTGGTGCATGGTTGGATTGATGGTTTGCCCTGTTGACAGGTTTTGCATACTTTGATGTATCGCTCAATGTCATAACTCATTTTGGGCCACCAATATTCCTGTAGCACAAGTTCCTTGGTTTCAGCAATACCTGGGTGGCTGGCAGTTGCATGATCATGACACATGGCAATAATTTCACCATATAGCATTTGGTCCTGGGGAATATAGATCTATCCATCATAATAGATCATCCCTTCCTCCTTCCTCATCTCTTGCTCATAGTTAAGAGATGGGGCCATCCATTGATTCCATTTCTTTGTGTCCCTTGTTGCACTCTTGATCTGTTCATGGATCTCTTTCTCTGTTGGCATTATCATGGCCCAGAAATGTTCAGGCCTCAATAATGTTACTCCTTTGTTGTCCTCTCCTTCTTGGTCATGATCAGCCCTATGACTGAGGAGATCTGCCTTCTTGTTGGCTACTCCAGCTTTATGGTGTAGCATGTACTGGTATTGGCTGAGCTCCATGACACACCTGGCTTGTCAGTGGTTCAACTTCTGTGGTTGTCAAAAGTATCATAAGTTTTAATGATCTGTCCAGATCTCAAAGACTTTGATAGTGCTGATTAGATAGTGTCACCACTCTTTCAGAGTGAGCATTATTGTGAGTAGCTTCT